CCCTTCTAGGGCTTATAATGGGCGCCAAGAAAAGCCAATAAGGGCCCCAGGAGGGCTCCAAGAAGGCCCCAAGAGGCCCTAAGAGTGGCCCAGAGAGACCCCAAGAAGGCCCCCAAAGCAGCCCCTTCCGAAAAATCAAATATTGTTCGGTTGTTCTTCCCGCCCCCATCCGAAGGAAAACATATTTGTCGGTTGCTTTTCCCTCTTGCTGCCGTTTCGGGCTCTTTTAGGGCCCCTTGTAGGACGCCAGTCCACTGGACCCACCAGCACCCCTCGAAAGTGGCGACAGTTTCGCAGATCGCAGCCCCCCCCCAGGGATGGCGAGGTCCAATCTGAGCCCCCATAGGACGTCACTCTGCTGGGCCCCCCTGCAGCCCTCGAACGTTGGCCCTTCTAGGGCTCATTTGGGCGCCAAGAAAAGTCAATAAGGGCCCCAGGAGGGTTCCAAGAAGGCCCCAAGAGGGCCCTAAGAGTGGCCCAAAGAGACACCAAGAAGGCCCCCAAAGCGCACCCTTCCCCTAAGGATTTTTTCGGGATTCCTATGGATTCGCAAATATTCCTAAGGATTCCTGACGGAATCCGGAGGAGTCCTGATCCTAAGGATCCTTAGGGATCCCAAGGACCCTAAGGAATCCTAAGGATCCTAAGGAGTCCTAAGGAATCACAAGGAACCCTAAGGAATCCTAAGGGATGAAAAGGACTTCTGAAGAAGAAACAAATACTTCTGAAGAGGAAAGAAGTACTTCTGAATAAGAAAGAAGTACTTCTGGAGATCCCATGGTTGCAATTGGTCCCATGTATGGTTGCAATTCGCTCCGAACGGTTGGAATTGGGACCAGTCGGTTGCAATTCGTCCCATTTCGGGGGGAGGGGCGGGGGGAGGAGGAGGGAGGGGGGTTTAGGGAGAGAGGGAGGAGGGGGAGGGGAGGGAGACAGGCCGGAGAAACGCGAGCAGCCACAACCACAGATGGCCCTCCTCCTCCTCCTCCTCCTCCTCCTCCTCCGCCTCTTCGTCCGCCTCCTCGCGATCCGTCTGGCCCCTCTGGACCGCCAGGCATAGGAGAAAACCGAAACCCCGACACAAACTGAATCCATAGTTTCTCTGATTGGGACTCAGCCTGGGCGGACATTGGGGCCGGGGGGGGTCCGCCGCTCCCGCCCAGGCCAGGCGGCCGCCAAGTGGCGTCGCGGGTGCCGCGGCGCCAGCTCCTGGCGCGAGCGGCTGCCAGGCGCTGCGCTGGGCGCCCCCCCCCAGCATAGGAGAGGTAGCGCCTCACCTCCTCCTCCTCCTCCTCCTCCTCCTCCTCCTCCTCCTCCTCCTCCTCCTCCTCCTCCTCCTCCTCCTGATTATACCACCCTCCTCCTTCAAGCGCCGCGAAGGGCAGCGGGTCCTCAGGGCGTTCAGCGGAACGCTCGAGGCGGCGGCGGTGGCCTTATGAGGGGATTCGTTAAGCGAGCCCGAATGGCAGACGGCACGACGCGCAGAGACTGGCGACTGGGAGGGAAGGGGGGGGGCAGTAGGCGCGGGCGGAATGATGCCATGATCGGATTGGCTCAGGAAGGTCTAGGATTTCCCAAAATATCTAGCCGCCCTCGTCTCTGTGGCCCGCGTGGAACACATCAGAAAATCTGAGAGCCCCCGGAAATCTTGGAACGTGTCATTATCACGACATCTTGCTCGGCTGAAGTGGGCGTGGGGCGGGGAGGACGCGCCTGGCCATGGACCCGAAACACATCGTAAGACAGACGCCCGCAGACGGCTTCTCCGCCAGCGCCAGAGTCCCTCCCCCCGCACCCCTGGGAGGCGCCGACCGATCCAGGGGGTCCGGCGCCAGCGGAGAAACCGTCCGCGGAGGCCCGACGCATATGTTCATGCGCTTTTCGTCCCTCCCGCGTGCGGGCCTGCGAAGAAGGCATCCGCCACTGCCAGCTGCAGAGTGCAGGGGACCCGGTCGCCCGTGCCCATCCATGTCACCTCGCAGATGCGAGGGCCCCACCGCGGGCAGCCCACGAACCAGTCCACGCGCACCTCGTCCAGCCCCCAGCGCCTCGAGATCGCCTCCGTCTCCGAGCGCAGGTGCGGCCAGTGCTCGACCAGGGCCGAACGCAGCGCCGCCTCCGCCGACGGCGGCATGGCGCCGTACATCCGCTGGAGCGCCTTGTTCCCCGCCACGCGCCTGCCCCAGCGGTGCAGTCGACCGTCCGGCAGCACCCAGACCGCCTGCGAGGTGTGCAGCGTCGCGCCCACGACCCTGCCCCAGATCGACTGGACCTTCAGCTCCAGTGGCCGCAGGGGCTCGACAGCGCTCGCGCCCAGGCTCGGGTACAGTGGCTCGAGCCCAACGCCGCGAGGCACCTGCAGAACACTACGGGCGCTCGGAACGAGCCCTGGGGGGGGGGGGTGCGGCGCCGGAGGCGCGGCCAGGGGTGCGGGGAGGGGGAGCCGGGCGCCGACTCGAAAGACCGAGCGCACACCTCCCGCGGTCCGTGCCTGCGCACTTCTCCTTGGCCCCCCCCGAGCCTGGTAGAGCTGCCAGGTCTCCCCCGCCTTGCAGCCGACCGCCAGAGCCGCGCGCACCGCCAGCGCCGCCTCGCCCGCGAGCCCCAGGTCGGCGTCGGCCGCCGCCGCGGCCGCACCGCTGCCGGCGGGCGGGCTCCGCGCGGCCTGTGGGGCGGCGCCGTTGTGGGTTGAGGGCAGCTGATATTCGCCGACGCCCAAGACGAAGACAAGATCAGGCATCTCTGAGACCTGGTGGTTCTGGACGATGTGTATCGGGCGCCGCGGCCGATCCAAACAGTTCCGGGGCGCTCTCACAGCGTTCCGGAACGCTCTGGAACGATTTGCCGGGGGCGTCCAAGAGGGGGGCGTCCAAGGGGGGGGGGGGGGGGCGCGAGGCATGGCCGGCGGCATGTGCGCGGCCTGGGGGGGGGCATGGAAACAAGAAGCGGCGCCATGAAAAATCTCAGGAGATCTCGCGGCCCCCCCATGAAACCCCCCCCGCCCCCCCCCCGTCATGGATCATCACCCTGGCCGCCCCCGCCCGACTGGTCTGGGCCGGGCCGAAGACGGCGCGGCCCGGCAGGCGCCAGGCGCGGCCTGCGGGGCTCAGGGCCGCGCCTCGGGCCCACCCTGGGGCCCGGGGTCGGCGCACGTGCCGCCCTGGCCTCCCAGCCAGGATCGGCGTACGCACCGAGGTTGGGCCAAGTGAGCATCGTTTAACCGATCCCTATCCCCACTCGCGTGGCCTGGGCCCCACTGGCCGGTTTACCCCCCTAGCGGGAAATACAGCCAGTTTCTGTCTGATTTCGAAGGGTATATCCCCATTTGGGGGGATGAGATGGTGGGGGTCGGGATGGGGATGGGGATGGGGATGGGGATCGGTTAAACGATACTGACCAAGAGACGGACCTGGCCGGGCACGGTGCCGGTGTGCAGTGGCGCGTCGACGTCCGAAGTGTTTGGTGGGGGGACTCGGTGCGTGCCCGCACGCAGCTCCGCCCGTCTGCGCTCGTGATGCCTGCCACTTGGCCCGCCGCCCTCTCCCGCGATGAGCGCAGAAGAGACGGCATGGGGTGGGGTGCACGACCGCCTCGCGCAGCTGCAGCCTCACCCGCTCCTCAACTCATGGCTATGCAAAGGCCGCCCATGATCGCAGATCGATCGAATCACTTGCGTAATCGAATCGGTGGGACCGAGCCCCATCCGCGGAGGAGGGGACCCACCATGCGGGGGTGCGTGACCGAATCGATCGATACCACCACGCGCCGACATCGGCAAAACTTATCGAATCGATACGAGGGGATGGAGGAGGGAGGGAGGGAGACAGGAAGACAGGCAGGGAAGGGTAGGGATGAGGCGATGTAGAGCATGGAGGGATGAGACGGAGGAGGAAGAAGGAACGAAGGATGCCCTGGGGAGAAAATGAACAAACTATGCAGAAAGATGGGAGGCGGGAGAAGGGGGGGAGGAAGCAAGGAAGAGTGAGGAGCGAGAGGGTGAAAGAGGGAGGCACAAGGGGGAATGATAATCATAAGGCAATAACACCACTTCCTTCTTGGTCGGATGCTGCCCCCTTCTCAAACCGGGCGAGTTTCGATCGCTGGTTGGCTCGGGATTTGGGCTCACGCGCGGGTCGTTCACAGGCGAGGTCAAGGCTCCTGACATGGCCCTCACCGCCCGCAACACAGGCATACCGACGACAGACGACGGAGGGAGGGGTGGATGGGGGGGGGGGCGGAGGTAGCGAGCGGGAGAACGGCGGGTGGCAGGCAGCCTCGGCCTCGCTCGCGCGCGGCCCGACGGACGGCGGTGTGCGCAGCGGGGCGGAGGCTCCCATCGGAGGTGACGATAGGGGCGAATAGCGCAGAGGCGGGCGTTACAGGTATTCGGCCGGGAGCCTCGCCGAAGGCATGTACCATCGGCGCCCCTGGATACACGTACTGCTCCCCCCTGGGCTATTCGCCCCCATCGTCGCCTTCGATCCAAGCCTCTGACGTCGGTGCCGGGCGAGCGGTGCCCGCGCCGACGCCCAGCGTCAAATGGCGGGCGGCGCCGTGGGCGAGGGGCGCGCCGCCGACGCACCGAGCAGAGGCTCCGCCTCGCCGACGGGGCGGCGCTGGTGCCGAGGAGCGCCGAGCGCCTGCGCCGACGGCGGGCACCGCTGGGCGGGGAGAAGCCGATGGGCGTACCGATGCTGCTGCTCCACGGACCCCTCCCACGGAGCGCTCCGCCCAGAAGTTCGAGGCGAATCCGGCCGTGGCGACGAGGGCCCTCCCAGCAGGCTCGAGATGGCGAGAACGAGGCACGGTGCCTCCGGGGGCGGGCGGGCGGCGACCGACCAGCAGCGGTCCAGGCCGAGCGGCGGCCGATGGGCGGAGCGGCGGTGGCCGCCGCGCCTCGGCGCCGGCGCCCGGCCAGCAGAGCGACTCCCAGCGGCCGGCGGAGCCGTCCGCGGCGGCCTCGCCCTCCGCGCCGGCCGGCGGCTGGATCACGGTCTGGCCTGCGCGGCTCTGTCAGATGGGCGGCGAGGCGGGTCTTGCGCGAGGTGGCACAGCGACTCTACGCGGTGGCTCAGTGCAGGACGCCAGCGCGGCACGCTGCGTTGGAGACGAGGGCGCCGACGCGCCAGCTTGCGCAAACAACTTACGCGCGAATGTCCGCGCAGTCGATCCCGTTTTCTTCCGTCGCTCCCGTAGGCGGACCGACGGCGCTCCGACGGGACGACGCAGCTCTGTACACCAGCACCAGTGTGGACCAGACAAGGGTCGGTGGCTGGGGCGCGCAGTGTTTGCTCAGCCAGGACGGCATATACACATAAAAAACACACACCAAGGCCTGGCCCAGGATGGATACGGCCAGGATGAGAGTCGGTGAATTGCTGTCGCCTTCCGAGCACGGCCCTGTCCCCTTCCCCGAGGGTGGAGCGACGCGGAGAGGAACTGGGCGCCGGCGGTAAACCGTCAACCTTTCTACCGCCGGGGGACTCGTAGAGCTTCCTGACAACATATAATGTCGGAAAAAAATTGCAGGGAACGAGTAGTTTCAGCCCAAGCGATTTCAGACGCTCGATGCAACAGCCGAACGCCCCCGAGCTTTGCAGCTCTCCTACAGCCCGAGACGTGCGTAAATCGACAGCACCTCTCAAGATGACTCGAACAATACAAACAGTTTGGCAAACCTAGCTCGAGTATCAGACCGAGTTCAGACCTCTGCTTGCAACAGGCGGACGCGTCTGACGTCTCTGAATCGATTCCTGTGATTACCAGCCCTGCAGCCCCCCTACAGCCCGAGTTATGTGCAGAAAACCGACAGCACCTCTCAGGATGATTCGAACATACGAACAGTTTCGCGGACCTAGTTCGGGCAGCAGACCGAGTTCCGAGCTCTGGATTCGACAGGCAGACGCGCCTGATGTCTCCGAGTCGATTTCTGTGATTACCAGCACTGTAGCCCCCCTTCAGCCCGAGGTGAATACAGAAAACCGACAGCACCTCTCAATATGACTCGAACAATACGAATAGAGATCGGGCAGCAGACCCAGTTCAGAGCTGTCAATTCAACAGACAAACGCGACTGATTATTCTGAATCGTTTTCTGTAAGCATCAGCTCTGTAGCTGTCCGAGTGAAGCACAGAAACCGAGAGCGTCTGTGAAGATGACTCGAACAATACGAATAGCTTTGCAGACCTAGCTCGGCTAGCAGGCCGAGTTCAGACCTCTGGATGCAACAGACGAACGCACCTGATCATTCTCAATCGATAAGGTGTGCTTACCAGCTCTGTAGCTGTCCTGTATCTCGAGTTAAATCCAATATACCGACAGCTCGTATCAAGATGACTCGAAACGGCCGATCCCGCCTGGACGCTTTTTGGCAGTAAAAGGTACCCGATCGAGCTGAGATTAAGACGGCGAGCGGGAATAAGATCGAATATCACCGGAAAAAATACTAGAGCTCAAACGAATTGTTGAATTCCGAGAAGAAAATGTTCAACCGACCAAAAGTCACCGAAAGGTCAGTCGAGATTTTTCTTGCCAACTAGCTCTCCAGCGCCCCGGAATTACTCTTAAGCTTCCAGCAACAACTTGCTCAGGGAAGCTCTACGAGTTACTCCAGCCTCAGCAAGGGCGAAGCGAGTGAGGCCACGACCTTGCTAGGGCGGAGCGGGTGAGACTACGACCTTGCTTAATGTTCGGCGGTTGACCAAAATCCTCGGGCCAACGTAGGGCCGTCTGGGGACAGCGCGCGTAGCAAAGGATCCCACTTGTCCTCGACGGCGAGGAGAGGAGGAGGAAGGAGGCGGAGCGATGGAGGAAAGCCGAAGAGGAGGAGGACCGGGGACTTTAGCTTTAGAACCGCGCACGTTCGCCCTGATACCTTGCAACATCCACAAGGGTGGAGGGCTACTCTCTTTCAGAATGCGGCTCTCGCCCCAACGCGGCGCATATTCGTCCAAAACTCGTGCAATGGTGATAAGCATGCATCTTTTCAAAATTGTGCTGGCGCTTGAAACTTCCTGGGGCTTCGAAGCCAGAAACTTCACATATGCAACATCCAATGCAGCACCTAATCGGATGGAGAGCGATTCCTTGTTCAAAAGGAGCTCCCGCCTCAACGGCGCGCACGTCCGTTTTAGCCGTGTACAACAAACACATGGATGCAGAGCGGGCGGTTTCAAAACCTGGCTCTCGCATGAGAGCCGCGCACGTTCGCCTCAAAAGCTGGCAACACCTACAACGACGGAGGGCTACTCCGTTTCAGATTGGGACTCTCGCCTCAGCGCGGCGCACATTCTTATAAAACGCGTGCAATGGTTACTAGGATGTGAGACGATTCCTGTTCAACGTGGAGCGATCGCTTCACAAGTTCTAGCGATATTTGCAGTATCACATGTGGAACGTTCATCGATGTGGGGAGAATCCATTTTCAAAGCGGTGCTCTTGCCCTAGCGCCGCGTACGTTCGTTTCCGAATCTTACAGCAGCTACAAAGGATGCAGGGCGGCTGGTATCAAAATGGGGCTCCCCCCCTGAGCGCCCAACACAAACATCTGGACTACAACTGCTACAATAATGGAGGGCTGCTATTCATCAAAATGGGAAGCTTGCCAGAGCGCCGCGATTACCCGTTCAATAAGTTCAAGAATCCCCTTTCCCAAGGGGGCAGTTCTACGTAGCTGGGAAGAGAAGCGCTTACACCGTGGAGGTCTTTCAGAGTTGTCGGTATGTGCATCCTTCCATACCCAGGTATCTGCCCATCTTCATCTATCTCTACTCCCACGTTGCCAGCTGTGCCTACATCATCGACAACAACACCATCAAGATCTCAGCGCTCACGGAGGACCTCTGCAGGGACAGGTCCCTCGAGCGTGCGGGTGGGCGACTACCGCCCCCGTAGTCTTATGAGGCAGCTCGGGGACTACTGACTCCGTGGCGTGGTGGGTTACGGCCCAGCGCAAGGTGCCGCGCTCGGAGTGAACTGCGAACCTTGCACCGCACTTGCTTCTGACTCTCGCCGCGGCGCACTGGCTCGCAAGGCCCACAGTGCGGCGGCACCCTCCATGGCAGACTTCAAGGCCACCACGGCCCATGGCCGTCGACGAGATCGCCTTCGTCACCGCTACCAGCGATGCCACCAGCGGTCTTTGTCGGCCTCTTCTTGTGCGCACCTGATTCCCACCACCGTGAACACCCAGGGCTGGTGCCGGGCCAACCAGACGGACAGGCACATGCTGCTTGCTGAAAGCTCAGGGTCTTCTACGCCTCGCCCGACAACATCGATGGGTCGTTGCATGCGTATCTGATGTACATTGCCCTGTTGGCTTCTCTGGGCCCAGCGCGCCCACCGACTTGCGCAACACTGTCGTAGCACTGGAAGAGTCCATCATTATCTTTGGCTCGCGAAGCGCCATGTTGCTGAACCCAGCCGCCCAGCAGGCCTGGAGGGAGCATGGCTGCGATATATATATATATATATATATATATATCGACATGACTGTGGACGCTTACTGACTATCTCCCTTCGCATTAAGGGCCTCTCGTATGCGATTACTTCTGCGTACGCACCAGACCAGTCGTACGAAGCGGAGCTCCGTAGGAACTTTTTCGAGTCCTGCGATGACGTGAGGCTTCGGTTCTCCAACTCTGGCTCCCGGATCTGGCTGGGGGATTGGAACAGCCATGTGGGGGATGATGTCGCGACCCAGTACCGCGGCCTCGGCTCCTACGGCATGCGCACGCCGACGGGCACCCCAGGAAAGGAATTCGCGTCGTGGCTCGCCAACGGCCCGCAGCTGGAGCTGGTGGATTCGTACTTCCGGGTGAAGTCTCGGGGCACATGGTTTCGTCCTGCGGGCGGCCGCCACGTGCACTACGAGCTGGATGTGTGCGCTGCTTCGGCACGGCTGTTACGCTGGTTCTCCCGCGTCCTTCCAGGTCGACTTCTCGGACCACTGCGGCAAGACCTACCACCTGGCGCTGGCCAAGGCGCACGAGGCGTGGAAGGACCTTCGACAGCGGGGTGCCGACGCCCAAAAACGACCTCTGGCACTTCATCGCATGCAGGGCTCGCTCCCCGAGGCCACCGCCCACCGCCCTGCGGGAGGAGTTCGAACGCATCTGCGAGGCCCGAGCTCCATCTCTGGAGGACGACTGCCCGCTGTCCACCATCCGAGACATCACCGTCACAGCTGCTGAGGAAGTGGTGGGGCGGGAATCGAAACGCTGGTGCGCTCCGTATCTCGCTGGCCATGCAGATGAGATGCAGGCTGAATGGGATGCTCTTCTCGACCTTCGTCGCCGCCAGCGCCTAGCGAGCACCACAGAGGAGTACGCAGCGTTGCGCCAGCAGCACCGTGCCTGCTCTCAAGCCTATCGTTCTCTTCGCCGGCGATGGCGAGCGGAGTGGATCTCTGGGATGGTGAAGAAACTAGAGCGTTCCATGCAGCACCACGACATGGATCGTTTCTACGCGGCCCTGCGCGAGCTGGGCCTGAACCTGCAGGAATACTCTCAGCGAGGACGGCAGGATCACACACCAGAGGCCCTGCGGGCCCACTACAGCAAGCTGGGTGCCGAGTCCAACACGGTCCTCCAGAGCACCCTGGACCGACTGCCGACGCCCCGCCCTACCTGCGAGGCTCTTGGGGACACCCCGACGCATACAGAAGTACTGACCCAGATGAAGAAGATGAAAAATTCCGCGGGAGGCAAGGACGAGGTCACGATCAAAATGCTGCTGTACGGTGGCGAGCGGGTCGTGGGCCCCTTGTGGAAGCAGAAGGGCAGCCCCCAGGATTTGGACAAGCACCAGGGCATCTGTCTGATCTGCATTTTCGCTCGGATTATCGCCCGTGTCCTCTCGGCGCGCTTGACGGCCTACTGCGAGGACCACAACGTGCTGGCCAACGACCAGTGGGGCTTCAGACCGCTGCGGAATACGCTGGGTGCGATCTCTGTGGTCCGGCGGTTGGTGGACCTGGCGTGCCATTGCGGGGCTGAACAC